TGCTAACCGCAGCCCCCTCGCAGGTGGCGTTGCCGGCGCTGTCGCCCACCATGCAGATGGGCACCATCGCGCGCTGGGAGAAGAAGGAGGGCGACAAGATCAGCGAGGGCGATCTCATCGCCGAGGTACCTGGCTGCTCCCGGCCCGGCCCCAGAGCTGTCGTCTCCGAATGCGTCAAAGCGGGTCGAACCTCCCTGTGGGCGTGATGCCCTCGGAGGCGGCCGAGCGGACGCGACGCCCACTCCGTTGTAACGGGGCGATTCTCTCTCTGCCAAGGTGGAGACGGACAAAGCCACGGTTGGGTTTGAGATCCTGGACGAGTGTTACCTGGCCAAGATCCTGGTGGCGGAGGGGTCCAGAGACGTCCCCATCGGGGCCATAATATGCATTACCGTTGAAAAGTGAGGGCCTGGGTTGTGAGTCGAGGGAGCGGGTGGGTGTCCTGGATGAAAGCATCGGATTCACGGCGCCTTCCTGTTCTCTTTTCCAGGCCTGAGTTCGTTGATGCCTTTAAAAATTATACCTTGGATTCTGCCCCTGCCCCCGCAGCCTCAGTGCCTGCCCCTTCAGCTGCCTCTCCTCCGCCGCCAGCTCAGCCTTCGGCTCAGGCCCCAGGAAGCTCCTACCCGCCTCACATGCAAGTAAGACGCAGCCCTTCCCTGAGCTGTTCTCTGCCGCTTTTTGACATCTCGTTTTCTGCCTGCGATGACACGTTTGGCTCCTGGGCACTGTTGTGTAGGTGCAGGCTGTGGCAACTGTTTCTAATGCCAGCTACAGCCATGTGTCAGTCACGTGCTGTGGGATCCCAATGAGCTGCCCTTTGACACGTTTTACGGGAATCCCTGTATTGGCAAAGGAAGGAGGATCCACCTTCTCTGCCGGGGTCCTGCTTCCGCAAACTCTGTGCAGCTCCTGCATTTACGTGATTCTTTTTGTTAAGAGGCTTTGATGTAGACTGGCTAAATGTGGTTAGTTAGATGGCTTTCTAGCAACACAAAATGGGACTAAGCAATTATGGCACCGAGCAGGCTCTTTGCTGGTATGGGGGAATAAGGTTTAAATTTGCCTGTTGGGATTAGACTAGGGTGGGTTAAAATGAGCTGCGCTTGAGGGTTATTGCTTTTCGACTGAGGTATTTCTGTGTGGCGTCCTAATACTGTTAGCATACCCTGTGCCTGTCGATTGGTTACTTGTGCAGCCCCCATTGCCAATATACCGGATAGTCTCTATTACCCCTTGCTCAAGTACGAGCTTTTTACTATCCGCATTGTACCGAGGAGGTGCTGAGTGACCCAAGGGACCTGTCTAAGAGGTCACAGGAAGGAGGTGGTGGAGCAGGGATGTGAACCCACTTGAATCCCAGTTGTGCTTCTTTCCTATTGCTTTCTTCTCAATTAGGTGTGGCTGAATGTCTGTTCTTTAACAAGTTCTGCTGTGACGTGGGGGAAGTGATGCTTGTTGTGTAAACAGCATTACTGTAACGTGCATTTCTTAAGTGCTCGTCGCTGTATTGTCGGCATGTACTCGGTTTAGGGCTGAAATATATAGCTTCTAGTAGGAGTTTGGGCTCTTCCCGTTTGTCACGTTCCAAATAGGTGAGGACCCTGACCCCACTGGAAATCTTATTCCTCCTGTGTGACCTTGGTTCTCCTTGCTGTGTGACCTTGGGCAAGTCGTTCCAAACTGCACTGATTTTATCCACCCCCCTTTCTATTTTAGCACTTCCTGTCTGTGGAATTCATAGATTCATAGATTAAGGGTCAGAAGGGACCTAGTAGATCTTCTAGCCCGACCCCCCGCCAGGGCGGGAGAACAACAAAAACCCCAAAACAAGATACGGGAGTCAAATGAGTCCAGCCAGGTAGGCATCCAGCCTCTTCTTAAAGACCCCCAGGGTAGGGGCCAGCACCACTTCCCTTGGAAGTTGGTTCCAGCTCCTAGCCGCCCTAACTGTGAAGTAGTTTTTGCGGATGTCCAATCTATACCTCCTCTCCATCAACTTGTGCCCATTACTCCTTGTTATGCCAGCGGGTGCTAGGGGAAACAGCCTCTTCCCCCAAACCCTTCTGGTCCCCCCTAGTGAGTCTATAGACAGTCACCAGGTCCCCCCTCAGCCTTCTCTTGTGGAGGCTGAATAGGTTCAGGTCCTGCAGTCTCTCACTGTAGGGTCTAAAGGGAGGCGTTCCTTCGAGCCAGACTCAAACCAGCCACCTAAGGATGTCTTGCCCAACAGTCCTCCGCTCTACCAGCTGAGCTACCGAAGGCAACCTGAATCTTGGAGTTGTGAGATGCTCTGATGTATTAATTGCATCAAGCAAGAAAAGCAGAATTCCAGCAGGGCAACAGGGAGATCCTTTGATTTATTTATTTATTATTTTTTTAAAAAATGTTTTGCCTCTGGAGTTCCTTCCTTAGTGCAGGCCTTGTTAAAAGAAGCCAACTAGAGATGCAACCTCTCCCTGCCATCTTGAGGCAGTCAGGCTGTAGAAAGTAGTGGTACTGTAGCCTCAGGGTAGTACAGGTTGGCTTGTGTCAGGGTTGGAGTTGTGTTCCCATTCCTGTAGGCTTGCAAAGGTCTGGTGTGATGCACGTTTTCTTTACCTCCGTAGATCGTCCTTCCCGCTCTGTCACCTACAATGACGATGGGCACAGTTCAGAGATGGGAGAAGAAGGTTGGTGAGAAGCTGAGCGAAGGAGACTTACTGGCAGAAATTGAGACAGATAAAGCCACGATAGGTGAGCAGCCCCCAAGAACAAGAGAGACCTCACTTTCAGAGGAGAGTAATCCAGGGTAGAGCTTCACACCAGACTGTTCTCTTTCAGCATTCCAGGACCGGAGGCCATGCTCTGTCCTAAAATAAGCAATTTAAAGTTATTTCACAGTCTGTTGTGGCTGTTGGTGATGGAGTGGATAGTAGCAGATCCTAACTCATCAGCCTTTTTATGTTGGACCCTTTAATGCATGGAGCCCTCTCCCCACTCAGTCTTTTTCTAAAAAAAGACTGTTTCCAGATCTACCAAATGGTAGAGTTAGATCCTGGTGGTAGTTATCAGCTTTGTGTCACCGTGGTGAGACTGAGGCCACCCGTATTTATCTCATTGTTTTAACCATTTCTGCTGTTCAGCAAACATTTTTTTTTCTTGCAGGCTTTGAGGTGCAGGAAGAAGGGTATCTGGCAAAAATTCTGGTGGCTGAAGGAACAAGGGATGTGCCATTAGGAACCCCACTCTGCATCATTGTGGAGAAGGAGTCTGATATCCCAGCATTTGCTGACTATAGGGAGACTGGAATAGTTGACATCAAGCCACAAGCACCAACACAGCCTCCTCCCTCACCAGTAAGAACAGTCTCTGATGAGGAAGTGTGGTTGGGAGGAGCCATTCAATTAGATTCATTTGCTATGAATAACTTTGCGGGTTGGAGGTTTGTGAACTCTTAACTCCAATTATCTTTGTGCTGTCTTGAGTGTAAAGATAATGTGAGCACTGGAGATGGATGCAATCTCTCAGTTGATATGTGCAGTCCATCCTCCAGGAAATAGAGCAAATTGCTCCATGTGGCCTCTTTTCCGGGCCCCCACCCATTCTAGTGCTAGTACCCAAATGGTGGGGCTACAGATTGCTTGCTTACACCTTCCTCAGAAGGATGGTTTCCAAGGCTAATCTGTTTCCCTCCCAGGGAGGCTCTCGCTATTTGGATTTTTTTTTCTTAATTTCATCTGTTCTCGTATCCTTTTGCACTCTTTTAAATTCCTCTCCTTTGTATCTAGTGACTCTAATTGTTGCTTTTGCCGAGCTTACTTCTGTCACCATCTGTTAGTCTCTCCAGGTCTGTGAATCCCCTTCAACTTTTTACTGTTTTCACTGGTTCTTCTTTTTCTGTATGACATTTTAGGATTACAGCATTCATAGATTGATATCTAAATTTGATAACCATTCAACTGCTTCAGGGGTAGTTGCATGGATTGATTTTTATAAATGATCTAATTGGGCAGTCATTCACAATGTGTTTCATAGT